TTGTGCAGTGCAGTTTATACAAACAGGTGCTATCACTGATAGCCTCCACTAATGCTTCTTTGATTATGACATTATAGAATAAGGCAACCTTAAAGGATGTTTTGACAATGATGGGAATATGTGTTTTTGCTCTCTACCTTTCAGGTTCATTTACCTTCTACTATAAATTAGCCCCTGAGAAACCATAGTAAAAGAACTTTGGCCTCACTGTTCAAACCTTATCCTAGTCAACTAAGTTCCAGATTTGTGTTTTCAGACTTCTCTTTAACCTAATATTGGGATCAAATACATAATCTTAGTACCACTTCTTTCCAACCAAAGAGAACGGTTTGTGCACCTAATTTCTACAGGATAGTAAAACTGATCTTGTGACTTGCTCGTGGCATTTTGCACTCATAGCTGGCATACCTGATTTCAGCGATAAGCTTCCAACTTGAGCTTATTCATTCTCCAGACTGGAAGGACCATCAATGACCCTCATGCTGCATGTGTCACCAGTCTCTAGAGCATCACTAGTATTAGCCACCTTAACCTTTCAGGAGGTAGCCAATTTCTAGGTGGATGTGTCACCTACAAGTTGACCTATCTCTAAGGATTGATATAGAGCAATTGTGAAGGAAAAGAAAGATGAAGAAAGATTTCTTGCTACTGGGAATTTGGGATTTTAAGGTAAAGTAAATTTCAACAATCAGTCAATCTCCTTACTTAGCCAGCCCTCTGACTTTGACCTCTTTTCCTGGCCCCAACCTGGGGAAGTAAAGCACATTGGATGATCAGATGGGATGGAAACAAACCTGCAGGGAGCTGCTCACACTGAGAAGCAACTATAATATGAGATTTGAAACATGAGCCACTATATTGGTTGAGGAAATTGTTCAAGCACTTCATGGGATGGCTAGAAAGGTGCAAGTAATTGTGTTCATTTCTAAGGAGGGAAAAAAGGAAAATATATTTTTAAAAAGCTTAGTGTTTTAATGTGTAAACAAGGATATGCCCCAGTGTTGATCTCTCTCTGAAAAAATATATTGTCTTTCAGTAAAAATCCCATGCAATATTTAATACTTTTTATCAGGAATATTTTTATTATTTCATAATTTTTATATTTTTTCTTCTTACCGTGGTTCTTTTTTCTAGAGTTAATGATTTTAGAGGAAAATATTGTTTGCAACCCTTATTATCAAGATTTGTTCCACATCACACCAGGAAGGTAAGCCAGGTAGAAGAAACCATCAAGATAAGACGACAGAAAGATATAAAAAGAAATAAGCTTTTACTTCCCAAATTCTGGAGTTTCCTTGAATGTTTTTGTAAGATTTAATTGTATGCCTGTCTGTTGCTAGTGAGCCTTATAAATTGGTTAAATTATTATTGTATTTGAAATAGTAATAATCTGAAAATGTGATGTTCAGGCCCAAACAACGGTTAAGTGAGTGTTCAGCTTCAAGGGTGATTGACAGCTAAAACTCATGTTCTCATCTGATAGCTCCAAAACCTCCCAAGCTCACAGCGATCCAAAATTTTGCAAATGTGACACTTCAGGCATTAACCAATTAACAGATACAATTTTGCTATTAACTTTAATATAGGCAAAAGTAGGCTTTAAAAGGACATGATAAAGCTTCTCGTGTATCTTCCTAATTCTATTAAAGAGAGAAGCCTGCATGTAATGGCGTGCCTTTGGAAAAGCTGGGGAATAAAGTTTCAAAATTGTATTCTAAATACTCAATGGCAACTTTTAATGAAAAACGCACACAATAGTATCAGGACAACTCCAGGCTGAAAGAAGGCAGAATTCCTAAGCATCTTCTCAGAAAAGTTAAACCACAAAGAGCAGATGGGTAAGCATCATGAGTGAAAACAATAACCGGATGTTTCATTGTAGATTATTTCCAGGGGTAGTACTGCAGTAAAAAATAAAAACCAAAACAAAAAAAACAAAACACAACCTATATTTTTTTTCAAATAAATGTGCAACCTTGAATTTCTTTGTTACAGTTAAAAAAAAAAAAAAAAAAAAAAAAAAAAAGCTTAAAAAAAAACAAAAG